TTATAGATTTGTTTCTTAACAGACTTCCAGTTTCTCACATTCACGTCACTTGTGTCCCTTGCTCCCTCTTCCCCCAAAGCTTTGCGAAAGCACTTTGCTCTGACACTGCAATGCTGCGGCCATTTCTCCTCACCCCCATCACAAAGGGCTGAGCTGCTCTGTTTGTGCTTATAATGTACCCAGATGGTGAATAGAATGAGTGACCACCAAGCTCATTTTCACTTGTGGGGTCAGACCTTTCTCCGCTAAATAACACAAGTGTTCCCAGCTGCTGTGCAGCTGCAGGGAGTCTGCTTTCCTTCACAGGCATTAAAAACCCTTTAATCAGTGTTTGTTGTTTGTCAGCAGTGGTGTTGAGGTGTGGAGAAAAAGAACAGATATGCTTTGTTGGCAAAGTTAACTTTATTCTGACCTCTTATCTTTCCTTTTTCTTTTCAAGTCTGAAGAAGCAGAAAGTAGTTTGGGAAGTGGTTTCCGCAAGCACCTGTGTAAATGTATTTGCTGAAGGAGGAGGTTTATACCCTTATACAGATACTGCATTTGACAGAAAAAGATGCTCTGAGAGCTGCACCGAACTGGAAGCTCTCTAGGGGAGGGACTCTCAGACTGATTGGTGTGGGAACTGCAGGTTCCCTTAATGTAAGTGAATGCTACAAAAATACAAATATCGGTGCATAATTCTAGTGTTACTTATGCTTATTTTAGTATAGAGTCTGTGTTTAAGAAATACTATTTGTAACGTGGTCAATTTTAACATTTTCCTGGAAAATAGGTTCTTCCTGCCAGTTCTTTTTTTGTTGTTGTTTTTTGGTTCTGCTTTTAATAGGTCTTCCCCCATGGAGGGAAAAGGACTGGTAAGCCTGTGACTCCAGTCCCATTTTTTTTGGATGTAATTTGTTCTGAAGAAAATGAGAGCACAGGTATCAAGAAGAGGCTTCAAAAAATCTCAGAGAAGATACGTGTAGTTATTTCCCTCTTTTGTCTGGACGAGGATTTGTACAGCTGGTGCTGCACACTTGTTCACAGGGTTACTTCTCTGTGCAGAACTGTTCACGCTGTGTGTCCAGCACCAAACACACCTCCACGCGTGTTGATTCTGTTATTTGCAAAACCCGTTTGTGTGAATGTCCTGAGGCGGTTAGGACATCAGGCTTTGATTCTGGCTTCCAGGGTGATGATAGGACATTCTGTGTGAGAAGTGGAATCCCTTATCTTACTGCTCTCTGAAGGCACCTGAGATTCACAGGACTGCATTGGTGATGTCTGAGGGTCAGTGGCCAGGTGTTAGGGTATCCCATGCACATCTGCCTGTCTCAGCAGTACCTCCTGCAGCAACTGAGGGGCTCTCCTGGAGCAGGGCTGTGCTTCTTGGGAAAAAAATAGCATCAGCTTGCTTGAAATGGGGATGAAGAACTGGGAACAAGTCACTTTTGAATTGTAGCCCTGATTGTGACAGTGATAGATTTGATTGCTCTCCTTGCTCTCTCACTTGTTTCCCTCCCCAGGTGGGCAGACCTATTTCAGCATTCATCCAGTGTTTTTCCTCTACTCGTTGCTGAGGCTACTAACAAAGGAGTGTGGTTGTCCTGCTCTCAGAGAGGCAGAATGCAGGAAAGAAAATGTTGTGAGCTGGGCAGGAAGGGATGGACGCTTGAGATAAACTAGTACCTTAAATAACTGTGGATGCGATGTGGTGATGATTAGCAATGTTCATGTGACAGAAGCAGAACTGGTGGACAAAGAACTTCCATTTTATTACCTGAAAGCTGCCAGGGCTGCCAAGCCAAAGAAGGGCTCTGAGCCATGGTGAAGCAGGTGTCCTGCAAGGGGGAGTTTTTGAAGCCCTACGGTAATGTCTTCAGGAGATGCAATCTTCCTGGCACTGCTGGCTGATCACATGAAGAGGACCCTGATCAGACAGGCACAATCCTGGATCCTTCTGGAAATTAATGCAAACTTTTACAATTAAAATCTAGTCGAACAAAACAAGCACCATCTTGTGCAACTACGTAAACCATAAACTTTTTTTGGCAAGGCAGGTGTGGCATCTTCAGTGCCTGGAAAGCACCTAACGCTGTGTGGGATCCCTGCAGTAATCCAAATTACAAATGCTAAAAAGGCTTTGATATTTTTTTTTATTTTTTATTTTTTTATAGAGTGGTTCTTGGCTTCATTTGGATAGGCAAGAACTTCATAGAGACTGCATTGGGGCACGCTGCGTGTTTCCTCAGGCCCTCATAATTAATCAATGTCGAGCTGTTCCTTCCCATCCCTCTGTAAGGAGGCACCCGTGGAAAGCTGCTCCATAGCTTTGGCTTTAGCTCATTTGTATGGGCTGCCTGTAAGCAGCTTTTTATTCCTCACGTATGCCCCCTCTGGGAGCAGGGGCTGCCCTGTCCCTTACGGCACTTTGGCAAGTAGTTTGGTGCAGGTGACAGAAGGCTTAGGTGAGTTTTTGTGATACACACTGAGTTTTCAATACGTTTGCAGCATGGTTTGATGATGGAAATGAATATTCTGTTTTTTTTTGGTGCTCTTCTAGAAGTCTCTGATATGTGGAACTTGGTTTCTGACACAAGGAGCTGCAAAAACTGCTTCGTGCTGGTATCTCAAGTCCTCAAAGCTGTGCTAAATGGCAAATGTGTCTGTTCCTTCTGAAGCAGAATGGCTTTGGTGTTTAACTGAGTGTTTAACCAGTGTGTGTACCATACAGTTCTGTCAGTTCTGCTTTAAAGTCTGTTTATATAGACAGCTGAGAAGCCTTGAAGTCTTTGAGGAAGAGTCTGTGACACTGCACATTGGGAGGGAGCTTCAGCATCATCAGCCTGCTGCTTTCTGGTGCGTGTTTACAGTCACTGCGCCCTGGGGGCTGCAGAAAGATGTGGCTGTACCCAGAGAGAAATTCCAAGCTCGCTTGTGGTAGTCCAGCCCCTGACAAGAACTGGGCAAAAGTCTGGTCGAACTTTACAGTGTTTTTATAGTCTAGTCCAGGTCTCTATAAACCATTTAAAATTGCCTTCAGGTTTAAATTTTCCAATTTCCCATTTGGAACAGGTGTTGCCAGGTTATAGAAAGTGTTGCAGAAAAGGAACAAAAACATTTTAAAAACTCTGCTGTTACAAATTTTGGCAAGTGTCTGACAGATGAGAATTAAAAAAAAAAAAAAAGTTTGCCCCACCCAAATTAAAACAAGTGCAGACCTTGCTTACTTTTCCCAGCTGTCATGTTTAAATAGGGTTTTTAGTATTGCATGAGTTTTCAAAAGACTCAGCAGTATAGAAGGTAATGTGTTTTCATATGAAAATATTCAACTTCTCAATTGTTTTTCATCTTGCTTAATTGGGGGGGAGGGATGAATTTTTTTTTTTTTTTTTACAAATGTCAAAAAATAAATTTCTGAGATGCACGTTGCTGGGATGGTTAAAAACCAACCCAAAGCAGGCTTGAGGCAATGTTTTTTCAACAGCTTTAACCTCAAAGCAGGGAGCAGACAGCTTTGTAGGCAACTGTGAGACCAAGGTGATTATGGCCGTGACTCACACTTCCCTGTAAGGCATCCAGCTATCAACACGCTTGGCGAGCCGTGGCTGTGTGCATGCAGGCAGGGTGTCTGTCGGTGCCCCCTTGCCAGCCAGCTCCCAGCTGCTGAGCTCAGGAGTGCTCTGACAGCAAGCTGGGGGGGTAGCGGCGTGCTAGAGAGCAGCTCTGATTCCCTCGGGCTCACGAGAGGCTTCAGAGATGGAGCTTGGGAAGGGGAAGTGCAGCGCTGGTTTAACTTTCCTTCCCCGCTCCTTTTTAATCCTCATGGGACTCATTTCAAGAGTCCCGTGAAATCTTCCTGCGAGCAGGTGGTTGGGTTTGGGGAGCAATTAAGGGTCTGACTGTCAAACCATTAAGTAAGGCAGTGAAAAGGGCTGCTGCTGTAACGTCCTGTTGAAACTGTGCAGGTATGGAAAGAGGACTGATAATCAGGGTCCTCAGCACGGACTTGGGAAAGAGACCTGGGTATCGCTGTAGGCAGCACAGGGTGCAGCTGAGGGCACAACAGGAAAGTACCACCACATGTAGGGCTTTGCAGGGAACAGGCTGAGAAATGAAAGGTGGGGACTCATCCATATGTGCATTGTGGGATTCAGCATCTCCAAAAGATAAGGCAGAAGCCAAGGTGACTTCACTGCCGTTTCCCTTTACTGATCATGGTATGGAGGACATCATCTGAGCAAGGAATTGAGGGACTGACAGGAAAGGAGTGACGAAAGCCAGGCTGCATCCGAACTGAATGCTCAGAAGAAGAGGCATTCAGAAAGATAGCAAAACCAAACCTTCTGAAGGGAAGCAGTTTTTCACGTGGTGTGCAGTAGGGTTCTGGGATGCATGGATGCAGTTGTCAGCTTGGCAGGATGACATCAGGAAGGAGCAAAACATGGCCTTGGGAACATGTAGGTATGCTGTTGCTGGTGGTATCCACAGATGATACATGTATAAGCAAAGCTTTAAAAAACAAATAACTGGTAACATAAAGCCGGCCACATCCGTGGTTCAACTACCGGGGCCAATCTTGATAGGTTATCTGGGTTCTTCCATCCTTGGTGATGAGTTCCCTGCACCTCTAACTAGCGTTGTCTAGGACCAGATCCTGTCTGCGGCGGGGCGCTGGGTGAGCTGGGCTGATGTGACTCAGTATTGCCCTTCCCGTGTGGGTTTTGTTTGGCTTTGCACAATTTGTGTTTTCGGAGGTGAGGCAGAGTGAGTAATGTTTCCCTTCTGTTAAAGAAAATGGAACGGCAAAGACCGTTATTTTCTTTAAAAGATATAAGTGTTTCATTTTAGGTTCCCTTCAGGCAAAGTCAGCTCTGGTAGGCAGCTTAAACTGCGTTATGGAGCACATTGCTATTATCATAAAAACAAAATATGCTGCGCTGTGTTTTGGGAAATTAAACAAACTCCTTTTTTTTTCTCTCCCACTTTCCCTCCTTCCTTTCTTCGCTTCCTTCCTTCAGTTTTTAATCAGCGACCGTGACAGAGACCCTCAGTGTAACCTGCATTGCTCCAGGTCCCAGTCCAAGCCCCTGTGTGCTTCCGATGGCAGGACGTATGAGTCCATGTGCGACTACCAGAGAGCCAAGTGCCGGGAAGCGAGCTTGAGCGTGACACATCGGGGCCGGTGCAAAGGTAGGTGGATTTCAAACACCTTTGAGTGGAGGAGTGGGAGCCCTACCGACTACCAGACTAGTTTCTTTTGTTTAGTACCATGCTCTGTGAGTAGTGATTTAAATTGTGCATTAATATGAGTATGGTATCTGAGTCTGGGGTGTAGGTGGCAGGAGCAGGAACCAACAGAATTATGAATGAAAGAAAGCGAAGGAGCCAGAGAAGCCAGGAAAAAAGAAAAAGGCCCAAATGTGTGTCTATGGAGCAGAAGGGGCTGGCTTTATAGAAATGCACAGTCAAATCCTGAAGGAGATCTTCCTTGCTGCCTGTATCAATGAGAAACTGAGATACCTTTGAGTGGTAGGAATGTGCAGCAGGGAAGAACGTGCAGGCACATTAGGTGAGTATGTCTGAAAAAGGACCAGCCAGCCTTTCTGTGCTGAGCACAGAATGCGTGCAAGTCTTTACATGGCCTCTATTTTGCTTCTCTGCTGTTACACATTTACTTAGAAGTAAGAATATTGTCTTTCTCTCAGTTCATCTTTTCTTCAGTATACCCTAAAGTTGAAGTTGCATCTTTTTTATTTTAGGATGTTGGTGTCTTGTCACACAAATAGTTTGCTTCTGCAGTGAAGTGAAAAATTGTTGAGTGCGTTTTCTGGGAGCGCAATTGACTTAGGGCAGATGGCACAGATGTTTTTAGCAATTGGTTAAAGTGACAGAAGAAATTCATTAAAATCCCTGTGGAAGGATAAATAGGCATATGTTTAAGTCTAAATTGTTTATGAAAGGTTTTGTTTTGTTTTTCTACTATAAAAATGCATTTTTAAATTGCTGTCAGAATTGCTTGTTCTAAACTGGAAATCTTTTTTTCAATGTATTGACAAATGTTATAGTTTAGGTGAATTATGAGCATGACAGCAAATACTGCTATGTTTTAAATGGTTTGGAAAAAAGCTTCCTTGTATGTTTATTCTTGCCACTGCTGAGTTGCTTTATGGTAGCTTTTCTCCTATAGCAGAGTGGTTTAAATAAAAACAACAAAAACAACCCACCCCAATTCCATGGCTGATATTGGCACACAAACTGGCACTGTTCAGTTGCTTAAATCATAAGATCTGTAATGTGTTACAGCTCGTGTGCAAAAGTGTCTGTTTTTGGAAATGGAGATAATGTTGATTGCAAAACTGTACAGTCTAAAGACTCCCAAAGAAATAACTAAAGGATTTTTTTCTTAAGCACAGATAAAGTAGACAACTGAACGCTTAGACAACTGAAATGTTTAGCTGGAAATGCTTATGTTCTCCTTCCTTTTTCCCCTTACCCTGTGTTAACTGTACAGCACCTAATGACCTGGGAATGTTCGACAACTGTGAGTCTTGCTTTTAAGCCACCGTCTAACAGTCCAGTGAAACCTTGGGAAGTAGAAACATTCTTTTAACTATCACATTCAGATTTAATTTTGCTGGTAACTTCTTTGTCTGCTGTTATGGAAAAGTTCTTTTGTTTTTTGAGTCATGCTGGGAATATGACTTCTAGTTGTGCATAGAGATAATTGCTCTTGGCAAATGCAGACAGTGGCAAGACCAGGTGTGTCTAACTACAGGTCTATATTTTGTACCCTCACAAAGAGGGGGGAGGAACCACCAGCAGTGTCTGAGCATCTTCTGCCACTGAGTTTATGCTGAACAGCTTTCATTCCTTCTGCATGACAAAGATGCTCTACAGGGGCACTCCCATAGAACTGGGAAGGATCCCAAGGACCATCCCGGTAGATCCTGTATCCAAGAACTTACCCTTGTGAAATGAGTGCTTTTAACTTGTACTTCCCTCTCCAAGGGGGAAAAGAAAAAATCTAGTAACTAAAATAAGGAAAAGAGGAAGTATCTTGTGGATGGCAAGGCATGGCCCTGCACCCCAGATTACTTCAGGTTTCCAATTTCATGCGCTGATAGCTTGAACTGTGCTGTGCTAAGGCAAGCAGAATGGTTTCCATAGTGAGAACAAACCCTTTTTGATTCAGTTCAGCTTTCTGCTCTCTCTCAAGAAGCTAAGGACCTTTAAAGATGAAATTTTGCCAGCCCTTTGGGAACTATAACTCTTATTCAGCTCTTGCTCCTTGCTAGCTTCCTCATGTGCAATGAAAATTCTCCAGTGGTAAATTATTCCAAACTCTCCTAACCCTTACGCACATACATCACAAAGGGTTACAGATGAGGACTAGCTTTAAATGATCAAGCTATGGCACCTGTGAGAAATGGAGCCTCGCTGAGATTCCAGAGAATAGTTCCAGACGTAGCTGTGTGTAAAATACACAGCCAAGCACTTGTACCTGGATCTTTTGTCAGCTGGCATCTTAGGATCTTATGTTAAATAACAAATTCTGCCTCAAAACTTTGCAGAGATGTAGGACAAATACTTGTTAAATGAGTCTTGGCAAGCTGTCGATATTGTACAATGTTTTAGGTTATATTGGATATCTGTGCCTTAAAAAACACTTAAGTTCTGTGTTAACTGGTTAGTTTCTAGGAATTTGCTTGGCCAATTTAATTAAAAAGAAAAAAAAAAAAAAAAGAGGTGGAGTGTGTCCTAAAGAGAAAACTCTTAGATTTACAGTGGTTGGTTTTAAAAGTGGTGGTACAAGGCTTGTTCTGCAATTACAAGTCCCTGTGCAGAATGAACCTGTCTGTAGGTTACTGGTGGGAGTTGGAGCAGGAGTCTTCAGCCCATATTCCAGGGACACCTGCATGAACACAAGTTTTGGCTAACGTGCTGGAAAGGAAGGTCTCATTCTGACTAGTGACGGGTTCTTTGAAGGTAACTTTCCTCCTGTACCTACTGTTCTCATTGTAAGGGAAATGAGGTGCTGAACCCACTCTTTGTTTCAGTTCATTTGCCAGATTCATGTATTTTGCCTTTGAACCTTCTCCCTAGGCAAGGGAGAAAAAAGTGAGGCCTTCCTTGGCGGCAGTGTCAAAATCTGAAATGAGGCTTTCAATCTCTTTGCAAATTTCGGCATGTTTTTAGATATGTTCCAAATAAGTTAAGGAACTCGGGAGCCGCGGTGGTGTCTGGGTGTCAAAGAAGCAGCAAAGTACGTCAGCAGGGAAGGAAAGAGGCTAGATATTCCAGGTGTAGGTCTGGGGTGAAGTGGAAAACAACTGGGAGGGTGGAGAATGATCGACACCATGTGGGACAGATGGGCACGTTTTTGTAGTTGGCTCGCCTTCCATTTTTGTCTCTTATGCAAAGACACAGATCATTGGCTGGAGTAAATGGATACGAATCCGCTGATTTCAATGTAGCTGGGCTGCTTCATGCCTGATGGGGTCTGGCCTGTATGGGAGACAGTTACCTAATGTAATTGTAAATAGTTCAAAAGCTGCCTTTAGATCAGTTTTTGCCATTGAGCTTTTGATAAAAACAAAGTAGAATTAAAACTAAATAGAAAGGTCTTTGTGGCTTGCTGCTCGTGGTCTATAGATGTTCTGTTTTGTATTGTTAGGATAGCTTAGGTCTTCATACCAGGATGCTGTGTGGTGTCGGAACTGCCTCTACCTGTTGAAGAGAGGATGCCTGAATTCTTGGGGCCTATTCATGAGCGCACTGTGTATATTATGAGGGACGTGGTGGTCTCGTTTGAATAAACTATTCATGGATAAGATCAACCATGGTAACTAGCCAACTTCATTGCAAAATCCAAAGCTATGTGCACCTGTACTCTGCAGATTAGGCCCCAGATGTCAGGAACATCACGTGTAGTTCAGTTCATGGTTGCCAGCTACCAGCTTGAGAATGAATTTTCTTTAAAAGGCAGCCTTCTGAGCTGCAGTGAATCTGTCCTAAGTTTAAAATATTTAAAGTAAAAATTATTAGACAGCTCTGCATTTAAAAATGGCATCCTCATATGTTTTTTCACTTTATTTAGGGGAAGAAGGTCGTCTTTAGTCTGTCTGGACTGTGAAACTGGACTGTATTAATGCCATTCTGTTTTTAGAAGCTTGGTGTTTGATTCTTCTGAGAACATTTTTAAGAAAATAGAAAAAGTGCTGAAACACTCAGTTAATCAGAATGCAGAACAGGGTATGTGAACCTATCGTGTAGCATCAGGCTTCAGTAAAATTTGTAATGCATCTTACATTTGGGGTGAGCCATTTGACAGCTACTCTTTAATGTTTGGCACTTATGTAATATTTTATATTTTCTAATTAACAAAGCAAAAATAGCAAGGTGAAGTCATCCCACTGAAATCACATGTTGATGTAAACATTATAAAAATACCAGCCTGTGGAGTGAGGAAGAGAAGGATTGACAGTCCTTTTAAAAACAAACTGGTAGATGTTGATATTAAAGGCACTGTTTTTACTGGAACCGACCCGTGAAACGACAGACGAAAAAGATAGCAGTATGCACGCACCTCTCCAGCCAGCGCAGTGGGGATGGTGGTTCCAAGTCGAGGCTGTAAAAGGACTGGAGTGACCTTTGGAAATCAATGAGGGAGGATGGGAGAAGTAATTAGTGCTGAGACTTCATGAACAGGAGAGAAATTGTCCATTTTAGCTGCGTGTCAGCAGCAATTTCTGGAAGTGACAGCACTTGAGTGAAGGATTGATAGGTGAAAGAGGATGTCGCCGCAATGATGAGCTCTTAAATTTTGTGTTGTGTCAGTGATGTGCTACACCGTGTGGTCTACTGGGTGACAGCAGGTAGTGTGGTCCATAAAGGCCAGTTAAATTTGCCAGAAAGGGCACCATCACCTTAGTACAGACAGCATGTTTGTATCATCTCAGTGTAAGGGCTTGATTTTGCATGTGTTAGACAAACTGGACAAAAAATCTGAGTTAGGTTTCCTTCTGCCTGGACTCCCAACATCTTTGTGCTACAGGGATACCGCGGAGTGTTTGCTCCTGCTGGTATGGTGGGGTGTCCCATTTTGGTTACGTAGGTACTGCTGCACCACCACTGAGGTAGGCACTGTGTGCTTTACACTTCTGCATCACGTTCAGGAGAGAACCTAGGTATGCTAGTCTGCAGTCCTGCATTCTCACACGGAGAGACTAGGAAACACACTTCAATTGTGAATATGTGCTTTGATTGTCATGTGATGTATTTGCAGCTCTTGTTTTTTCACGCACTCCTCTTCTGTGCTCAGATCTCCATAATCTGGGCAGATTTTTTAATTTTTTTTTGCTACTTAGTTGTCTCCTCTGAAGCAGAACTTGAAGGTGTTTTTTAATCAGTTGGCTGTGTGAAACAGAAGGTGTAGCCATACCATCTGGTTTGATAATAACATCTTGTGTCATGCCAAGCAAGATTAGACTCCTAGGCCTGAATGGGAGATGTGCAGGTGATAGTTAGGTGTTCTAGTTATCAGCATTGCCTGGGCTTCCTTTTCAGCCAAAGGAACTAGCATATTTTTCCAGTTGAATCATCCTCTGGTTGAGGTGTGCAAGAAAGTTCTGATAATCTGTTTGCTTTTTCAAGCAAAAACCAAACAAATAAACAAAAAAACATCCTACAGGTTATATCAAGGCAGCTGTAATCTTAAAAAACAAACAAACAAAAAACTGTTTCCCTAAATTTAGTGTAACTTGATTTCAAGAAAGTCTTTCTACTCTGTAATAATCTCTGTCTTTGTATGAGTTTAGGTCCACCTGAGATCAAATCCCCATGTGCAAAGGGCATTGTGCAAACAAGTTACAAGCTAAATGTAAGAGTTATGTAGGATCAGCAGGGACACGAGGTCATAGGGAGGGGAGGTAATGGACTGGTCATTGCTCAGCAGGTCAGTGGCAGAACTGATGCAGGCACTCTTGCTTTGTAACCCAGTGCTTAAGCTACAGGTATCTGTGCTGAATGCTATTGCTGTGAATAATGACATTTTTTCCCCAACAGCAGGAGATTGATTTCCATAATTTCAGAAGACTGTGAAATACTTCTTGGGGACTGTGTTAGTGTGATATATTTAATGTGAAATTGTATAGACAAAGTTATCAAACCTGAAACTTAGTCTCTTGTATCGTCAATTGTGTAAAGCTGTCATCTTGAATGCTATTGTCTGTTTTTATCAAAACTATTCATAGCATTGTGATTTGTTTCTACATCTAGATGTGCTTAGATAGAAATTGCTTCTATAGCTATCAAGTGCAAAGCCAGTTGATCTGGGAACCCAGCCTGGCTTTTGAATTCAGTGCTGCTATTAAGGATCCTGTTATTGAAGTTCAAGTGATTTGTGAAGCCCAATTTGGGCTCTTCAGGGATCCAGCAGAATTTTTTCTCTTAACCAGTTCAACCCTGATTATTCTCTGTGGTGCTGCTAAAAGATCTGATGATCACATTTTGCAGCTTTTGCACTGAAAATATTTCAGTTGTTGGATTCATGTGGAAAGAAAGGGGGTGCTAGTCCCTGTGTCAGTCCTGTGGAAGCAGATACTTGCTGTTTTTCATTCTAGACTGAGTATCGGACCTGTTTTTAAATGCAAACAGCAAGTCAGTCTGTGTCTCTGCAGGGCAGAAGTCTTTCCTTTGACCCATCAGTGTTAGGCTTGTCTGGGTCTACGCCCTGTAACAGTGAGCTGGACCTGGAAGGGGTTATGGTCATGCTACATGCAGCCCTCATCTGGAATAAGTGCAGAGCTGAGCTCTTAACCCCTTCAAGCTCTGCTTGTAGAGCAGTGGCAAAGGACCTGATACGAGAAAGTAAAATACACTCCTAGCTGTAAGTGCTGGGACTGGAAGTGGAAGGTAGGTTTCAGTAAGGCATGGGCAACGGCATGTCTTTAGTTGGGTGACTGGTTGTTTTTGGCATCCAACTGGGAGAGTTGCTCAGAAAAGCTTTGCTGGAGCCATCCTGCTTCCACATTGCTTGCTTCTGGGCCTAAATTATTTGGCTTATGCTTTAGCCATCCAGTTTCAGGCTGTTAATACTAGCATAAACACAGCTTCCTCCAGGAAGACCTTTCACTGTGTGAATATTGTGCTCTAGCTTGTAAGAAGCCTCCAGAGCTCTTGGATGATCATAAATAGTATTGCCTAAGGAAATTAGGCAGTTCTTCATTAACTGGGTCAAAGTTGTCTAGCTTTGAATTTTGTCTTTGGAATCATCATTGATAACTCCACAGCTGCCTTTTAAATGTACAGGTAAAGGTTGTTGATGCCCTGTAGTATTATTATTACTATTTTTTTCTCAGCTATATCGTGCATCTGGTACCTTTTGAAGATGCCAAGTAGTTATTTGCAATCTGAGTGGGGTTTGTTTCTCTCTTTGTAGATGCTGGCCAAAGCAAGTGTCGATTAGAGAGAGCTCAAGCACTGGAACAGGCAAAGAAGCCCCAGGAAGCGGTCTTCATCCCGGAATGCAACGAGGATGGATCATTCACGCAGGTAAAACTCCTACTGCCTTCCTTTGGCCAGGCTTCCAGAGGCTGCAATGAAGTCACTGATAAGGTGTGAGCCAAACCAGGATGGCAGTGTGGGTACACAGTCCAACTCCATTACTGAGATGAAGGTGTTGAAAGCTGAGGGCTTGGTTAACCAGCTAGAAACTTTGGTTCAGGCACCACATGTACCGCAAGGCACATATGTATGTAATAGCATCCACATCCAGTGTAGGAAAAACAAATTTTCTGTTTTGGAAGTTGAAGGAGAGGTCAAGTTTTCTCCAAAGATGAGCTAAAAAGGGCATCGAGGCTCACACAGAACAAAGTGGGCTATGGTTCCTCTGTTTTTACCTCTGCTTCATCTATCCCAGGAAAAAAAAAAAGTCCTATTGAGCATCTTCCCTCTGCACGGCACTTGTTAGTGACAGACTCTTGTTTCGTGTACATGGCTTGGTTGTGGTTTGGGGGTCTGGAAGAGAGGGGATGAGAGTTGCTTGGGGGCTTGATTCTTCAGTATTTGTTTCCTGGAACTAAATGAAGTGCTGGGTTAGCTGACTGTTTCATGATGTTGCTTCTCTTGAGAGCAGTTGTGCCAGGCAGGTGTAGCAAAGAAAGCTTATGGTTGGCCTTTGTTGGTACAAAATCACTAGTCAGTCCTGGCCACTGAGCATCCTTTACCAGTAGTTGAACTGGGCTTCCAACGAAGTTGAAGGTGTGAGAAAAGGAAAGCACTCATGAAGGAGATTTTGAGAGGAATAGTAGTCTGCTAATCATAGAATGGTTTGGGTTGGAGAGTCCTTATAGATCATCTCGTCCAGCCCTCATGCCATGGTGATGGGTCATTGCCAAGGCAGGGTAGAAATGAACAGCGATGCTCGTCTCTGTTACCACCAGTGTACTGAGTAGTGTTCCAGTGCTGATTGAACTGGATGTTAAAAATGGTTCATGTGCTGTTCCCTGGCAGGTAGGAGAGGGCATGATGTCTCCTTAGTTTGGCACAGATCTCAGAAGTCCAAATTCTGCATCCCTGGTGACATTTGCTTTGTGAACTTGGGTAAATCGTGTAACACTTGTGCTTTAGCTTCCCTATATCTAGCACTGTTCTAGATATCTTGTGCCCCCGAGAATTCATTAGTTATTGTTGTTTGCAAATTCTTTTGAAGGTTAAAAAAATCCAAAATGGAATCAATATTGGCTTCAAAAAGATGAGTCAAAAAGCTTTGGGGCTGGTTCAAACACTTTGCAGTGCCTCGGGGAAAAGGAGAGGAAAGATTTTTTTTATGATAACCCACTAAAAATCTGTGTTCCCCCTCAGCCTTACCCTCCCATTATCTGATACGTGGGAGTGTTTTTGTTTTGTTTTTTCACGGTGAAGTGGGAAAAGTTTAATCCATCTTGCCAGCTTTGCATAGTTCTCCTTTGGAGCAGCATCATATGTGTGCAGTGTGGACCATCTTGGGGAGGTGGGGTAAGAGATGTAGCTGCAGTTTTTTGCAATTGAACTGCAGTCTCAATTGTTGAGATTTGATTTTGTGCAGAGCTGCTCAGGTTATGTTGGCAGTGGAAAGGAATATTTATAAAAACCTAGCACAGTGGCCAGCTAATTGTTCCATGTTGGACTTCACAGCTCAAGAAGAAAGGGGGAAGGAAAGCTGAGTTTTCATTGTCTGTCAGTTGTCCATCAGCCTCTTGGAGAGTAAAATAGGGGGTGCAGGTCTTTTTTTTTTTTTTACTCTAGTAAATTGGAATAAGAGCACAGCTGATAAAGCTTTATTTCAGACAGGTTTATCTGGTAGTTTGGTACTGGTGTCTGGGTTGTGGAGCAGTTGCTGGGCCTCTTTTCTGCACATTCCCAGGGCAGTGCGGGTTGCCAGTGTTTTCAGTGGAGAAGCAGCATGAAACTGCTTACAAAAATCATGTATTCTGAGCTGGCGGCCAAGTGATATTTCGCATTCTTCCTCCATTTAGTTCTATCTCTGAACACTAAAATGCTTTTGTTTTACCTGGCATGTGGAAAGAAGCCTCTGATCCCTTTGTAACTGGCATTAACTGAAATTCACATCATTCCTTGGATCATAATGCCCTGTGTTGCACATACCTCAGGAACCAGCTTCGTCAGTTGTATTGCAGCACTTAAGGTCATTGTCCCTGCTGAAGATGTGAATGAAAAACAATGGCCAAGGAAGCTAACTGGTTTTAATCTGCACTTGAGACAAATATTTCTTTTAGCTTCTGGTTCAAATTAATTTAATTTGATTTTAAAAGCATGAATAAATTGTAGAATTTTGGTAAACAATATAAACAGTTTTTGCTTCCAGCAGCTCGCAAATAGATCTGGTTTGGTGGAGGTGGTTTGGATACTGCCTCTTCTTTGCACAGAGTTGGCACCCCCAGGTTCTGCTCTGCAGAGGAGCTGTGTAGGCCAGTTCATAAAGTGCCCGAGGCCTTGCAGAAGTCGGATCTGTGCAGTTGTTAGTTTATTCTGCTTCAGTACCCAGTGAGTAGTTCCATCTGAACTCCAAAATCTCAGTTGGAAAGCCTAGAACATAGCAGCATCTCACAATGATTTTTCTAGGAGGAATATCCACCTGGTCTTCAGCTTTGGATCCCTGTCCCAGCAAGAATCTACTCAGGTGCACGTATTTCAGAGTTGGCTAGGGAAATTTTTTCAACAACTTCATCCCTGCCATGTAACATTTTTAATTAAAATCTTTTTTCAATACGAAAAACTCAGAGAGAAAAAGGAAGATGTGTGCATGTACATCAGATATTAGACATCTTGTTACTGCACTCAGATCTTGAGCTGGACCTCTTCTTTGTAGATGCATACATAGTAGGTGTTCAGGCCCACATCACTATCAGACTTCAAAATATCTGGGGTTTATTTAATTCATAGTTCTGTTTAACTTGTTTAATTCAAAATATTCAAAAATAGCTTGGAAACAGTTTCGATAGAGGTAACAGTACGTTCAAAGAACCTGCTTGACCTTGATCAGATTGAACCTGTTAAAGATATCCTGTGTGTCTTAAGTCCTACAAACTGTCTCTTTTGATAGTCTGCAAAATCTAAACTGAAGTGTTGCCACCAGTTGTACTGCTTGGATGCCCAATTTTCCTAGGCAGGGCTACTTACAAAGGGCTTTGTGTGTGCTGCATGAAAGGGAGCAGGCACCTGTCTGTTCCTTGGTTTTCTTAACTGCTTTATGCACCCTGTCTGCAGCTTCCCTTATTTTGGGAGTCTGTGTATTGCAAAGATCACACCAAACTCCATTTTAGCACTACTTATCCATCCAAATGTAGCATGGAAGAGGTGGTGGCATTGCAGGCACAATGGGATGACTGTAATGGGGGCAGACCTGGTGGATTGATCTGGAAAATGGAGGTAGGGGTATTTTGTTAAGATTTCAGTCTCCATGAGAGGACTATTACTTCCTATAACAAAAGCTCTTTGCAGTTAGCCAATAATAATATAAACACGCAGATAAAATTTGAGTTATTCACAACATAAGAATGTTTGATATGAGTAATTTGATTAATTTTACAAAACCGAGCTCACGTACTGTTGTGCAGAATTGGACGAGACTAAAACCGGTTTCTGTTCCCAAGACTGGCTCTCTCCTTTTTTGTTGTTATGCTGTATTTTGCATAAATGCCATTCCCTTTCCATGCTGCACTTAACCTGCTGTGATCTGTTCTTCATAAACAACAGGCTCTATTGGGTAATCTGTGCACTTTCTTTTGCTGCCTAGTGCCATTGGGCTTGTTGCCATGGGCCGAGAGAGACTTGCATTCTTCATAGTTTTTCCCCAAGCAATTTTTTTAGAGAAGGTTGCTGAGGTTTTAAACAGAATCAGTTTCAGACAAATGAATATGAACATGAATAATCTTAACCCTGCTCTGGGGATGTAAGCTTCTATGGCTTTTTTGTGGTGTCTTGCTATTTTGCCACCTCCTTCCACTGTTTAGCTTTGGTTTCTTTTCCTTGCAAGTCTGCATGCATGTGGCTGAGAGCAAAGGCATACTTGGAGTGTTTCTTTGAGTTCAGGGCTCTCAAAACTGCAGCTGCTGGTGCAATTACAATGCAGCACTAAGACTGCTGCGAGCACATCAGGCAAACCTGTCGTCTTATGACGGGGTCAGTAACTGTCTTTGTTGGACCAGTTTTCTGTCATCAGACAACTTCCAGAGCACTCCAACATCTAATCATATGTCTGGAAAGAAAGAAACTTTCTTCATAAGGAATCTGGGCTACAATTAGTAGATATCTCTGCTTATTTTTTGGTATTAAGAGAGAACCTTTCTATAAAAGATTTTTGTTGGAGAGGTCTCTGTGAGTGCTGCTCTGCAGACTTGCCTGCTACTTAGGCACTTTTTTTCTTCTTCCAGCTCTTGTTTTGTATTGCATTTGTATATTGACCTAAGAATAACCCATGGATGAGTAAGGAGGTGGCAACTTTGGAGATTATATATATCTTCAAGGAAGAACTGGTCAAGAGAGTAAAGGAAAAGATTCTTAAAACAGGAGTGGACATCCTTATAGAAAGCAACAGTATAAGATCATGCATCCTTAGTGTTAAGGGTCACATTTTGCTTCTGAAAGAGTCTGTGTAATTTTAGCTGGGGATCCCTCTCCTGAGCTGTGTAATATCTGTTCAGTGTGTGTCTGTTGGGAATGCCCTTGAACGTGGCTGAGATGCTTTTGCCACAAATCACTTATTTCCCTGATTACGTATTAATAATGAAATTCCCGTGGAGCAAGTGCTTCTTGAACAGCGCACAGGCACGAGGAAGGCGGCTGCTGCATAAAACCATGTTGGGAATATGGGAATATGTCTGCACAACATCATTTGGGAAGAATTAAATTTGAGCAGTGAACAGAAAAAAGTGGCAAGAATGATTTAAGGATTTGCAATTCTCAAAGAAGCTCAAGCTTAAGTTGTAGGCTGATTGTTCCCTATGATTGTCAGTAAAGGCAAGGCAGACTTCTGGCAATAGTCAGCCGATGTTAGCCTGGCAGAAAAGATGACACAGTCCAGGGGCTAAGCAGTACAGCAAGATATTTAAACCAGGGCAGAGGTGCCACCGCTTACTGTAAGGATAAATAACCATGTTGGAAGCAACCCCTTTGTTCTCCTTTTTCAAACAGTTGTGAAGGGATAATGCAGCTGGCTTGTTGAGTTTTCAGATTGTTTGGGAATCTGATTCTGGTGTTGCTGGTGAGACACTGAAGAAACCCAAACAGCAGCAGCTTTTTCCCTCGGGAATGAAGAGGCAGAGGAGTCTGCCAGTGATGATGGTTTTAATGCTTTCATACTGTAATGAATACGAGGGCAGGTGTTTATTCGTGCTGCCAGTGGCTAGTGTGGTAGCTGCTGTTTGATTTCACACGTGGTAATAGCACGGGGGAATAAGGAGCTGCAGCCACACTCTTAATTTGGGCAATGGCAGCAGAGCATTGTTGGGCTTGTCTTTTCATCCTTCAGTTGAGGCACAGTTGAGATGGCATCTCTCTCACCCCAGAAATACAGAAAGAGGATCCTCCTGCATAATCAGGGATGTAGGTGCTTGCAGGGCTTTCAACTGCAGTTTAATTTTTTTATTTTTGAAAGTGTTGCTGTTAATAAGGAATCTGAAAGACCTTAAATAATTTGTAGGTTTTATTTCTGATCCCATGTTATGGAACTTAAAATGTTTAGCTGTTGGACAGGTTTATGTCAATTTGGGATGTCAAGCTAAGCTTACAATGAGCCTTTCCTGCAGTAATGAGAGTTTCGTTACCCAGAGCTTGGTTAGCACTTGAGTTTATTTTGTGTATATAATTAATATAGTCTTTTTGTGTGTGTGTGTGTTTCAAAGCTTAGTCAGCTTTAGAAGACTAATGAGAGGAAAAAAAATAAACTCTTCTTAACAAATGCATTTTGATAAACCCAAGTAAGAAACTCAGTAGCTGAAGGTAAGACTTGTGCAGTAAACAGGTGTCACTATTACTCTTCTGACTATTGAAAAGTATTGCCCTGTGGGAGTGGGATTAGACTGAGGTTGAGTTTCAGGCAGAAGATCAAATGGGAGTTAGAAACAAAAACTCAAGCCTAAAGTCATGTGAAAAAATTTAAACAAAAACAACAACAACAAAAAAGTGGATTTCCAATATTCCTTACTACAGGAGCTCCGGAATATGTTCACAATTTAGTGTCTATTTTGTTTACACACAGTGCTTAGCTATGGTCCAATATCAGTTATGACCTTTACATTTTTCAAAACTGTAGCAGTACTGTGTAACTGATAAAAAGTATACCCATTTCTTTTTTTCCTCCAGCCTTTAAACTCCAAATTCTCTATAGATAATAGACCAATATTGTTATGACACCTAAATATAGAAGGACCTGGTCAGGTACTGTGGTGAAAGGCAGCATCTACCAAACATGGAGACGTGCAGAAAAGTCAACTGCAGTGATTTTTGGGAGGTTTCTGAAGTGTATGTTCTTCATGTGTAGTTGTCCTTTCTTTAGGAACGAAAGGATAAGGGCTGATATTGCATGACTCGTATTATCCATAGTAGGGAAGCCCTTTGGTGCTGCAGTAGCCCATGTGGTTGGTGTGAAAGTGCTGTCAATCTGAGGTGGCTGCATAAAATGCAACTCATGCAACTCTGCCATCAACTTTGCTATTTTCTGAAGGTTTGGCTAAATAACTTTAAAGTCACTAACACCTGATTTTTATTTTTTTTTTTAATTGTTGGGTACACGGGGAGTTCCTGAAGTAGGTGATGCATTCGCTTCCTTACATATTACTGCAAAAAGAAATATTTAAAAGATGTATTTTTGTTGGAAAATATTTGAGTCAAATTAGTAGTATTCTGAAAGAATAGTAGTATTTTGAAAAAGTGGTCCAAAATACAGACAAATGCTTTTTTTCTGTAATGTAACATGGAATGGTCCTGCCCTACAAATCTGGGACGCTATCCTGGAATTTGACTTCATCTCTGGGTAAGATTTTTACAGTTAATGCTCAGGTGTAAAGACAGCTTCTTGTGCTGTTGGGAATCCAGTAGTGTGTGCAATAAGCAAATATAAACACTAAACACCTAAAAAACCAAGTTTTTCTATCACGTCTTCAATGTGCCACTGATTAGACTGAGCAATAAGAAATATTTTGCAACTTGATTATTGCTAATTATATTCACAGCACTTTTGAGTAATTTGCAATCAATTTTGTGGTATATTAACAGAATTAAAAAAAAAAAAGTGTGCAGATAGCAGTGACAGTGACTCTAATAATGTGGGTACATGAGATTGTTGTTGATTTTGGCTGCTAACCGTGCGTTTGCTTGAGGCAAAATGATTGCTTTGCGCTTTAGTAAAATCCAAGATAAACACGTGGTACTGTGTTATAATTGCTCTTAGATCATGTTTTATGTGATACTTAAAGCCTTTTAAAAAGACCATCATTAAGTCTCTGAGCAAACTGCTACCTTGGGGAATCAGAGCCAACTGTCAGCAAGGGGGAATAACTACTCTAGTTGTGAAGGGTCCCAAAAGGAGGGAATGGTACAAACACCCCAGTGCTCACCAGTTCTCTGGGGGGAGGACTAGAATGGGAAATCAGCTTCAGAGAACGTCCTTGGAAAAATAGAGAATGGATCAAATTCAGTCTGAAAGCGAAATAAAAAAGCAGTTTCTGAAATGATTTCATGTCCTGGCTTTTATCAGAAGCGTATGATGGAGGCATCTCTAGCCTGTAATAGTGTAGGCATTTCCATACCATTTCAAGGTGCTGGTATTACTGATGTACAGACCTGGCCACAACTGAAAGCTTGTTTGCTGGGAAGGATTTTGGAAACTGATAGCTTTTACACTGATGCCTCTATGATGATTATTTACTTTTGTCTCAAGAGAAGTCAGAAGACATCCTGAATTCATCCAAGTGCTGATCATTCTGTGAAAGCTGAGGAAAAAGCTGTAATTAGATTTATTGAGCTGGATGAAACTATAGCACCACTGGACTAATACCTGCATAGACATCACTAAGACCAGGATCAGGATTTATTGCTTCTCACTGTATGAGTCCACCTCCAAACTAGTCACTCTGGTGTCCTTCCATAGCGATGGGAAGAACTGGGCAATTCTAGACACTAAGTTCAGATGCAGAGCTTTAAACTTGAACAAATTGGATCTTATGCTGTGCACCTTTTGGCTCATTACAGACTTCATCAAACGCTCCTAAGGCCTTGTCAATACACAGAGAGCAAGCATCTTGCTCCTACTGCTGGAGCTGACATAGTAACAGTAGAGAGCTCAAATCTATCTGGAGAAGGTTTGTTAACATAACAAGTCAAGTGTGCATTTTTCTAGCTGTGTTTACTTAACAAAATGCTCTTGCAACGCCCACAGACCACTGTTCTCCAGCAGTGGCTGTGGAAATGGGCTGAGGTGGCCCTGCCACATTGCAGCTGGGATGCAGTGGGACTCTAAGGAGAAATTATTTAATGGTGAATAGTAAACAGGATTTAGCAAATGAGCTGAGACATGACTGCTGCATACCCAAACTGAAGTGTTCTCAGCTGGGTATCTGTAACTTCACCTCCTGAATTGCAGCTAAAGGAGTTGGAATAGGAGAAATAACCTTTCTTTGGGGAGGGGGTTGGAAGGAGAAAGCTTTTGTCAAAAAACATGTCCACCAAAATCAAATATACTCTTCTATGTGGTCTCCTTGCTCGGAAGCATTTCTCGGGATGCTTCTGGGTTGGGACTTCCATTAAGGTGCTGGACTGTAACAGTAGTGGTGGGTGACCGAGTGAGAAATGAAATGCCTGCTCTTTGTTTTATCAAACAGGTGCAGTGCCATACCTACACGGGATACTGCTGGTGTGTGACACCTGATGGCAAGCCTATTAGCGGTTCTTCTGTACAGAACAAAACTCCTGTATGTTCAGGTACTGTGGGAGTGGCTTCAACAAACACCTATTTGGTTAACTGAAGGGGCATGGGGAGGACATGTCCAATTCAGAGTGCTTAATCTTTACAGGTGACTTGGCCAGTTTACCCAATTTAACACTGCAGTTGCTGCTCGTATCTCGCTGTTTGTTTGCTGGCTTTTGGAACCTGCAAGGAAGCGTGGGCCGTGGCATTTTCACCTGGCAGCTAGGGTGCAAGGCTTACTGGGGAAAAAACACTAAAGTAACAGAGTGGAACCACGGCTTGTGGTAGCCAAGGCAAAAGCCACAGTACTGCTGTGTACACCAAACCCAGCAATCTCCATAACAGATGGGATAACTGTTTTCCATGTGCAATATTTTAAAGAAATGGTTCTCAGGCTGAATTGAGTTGGGTCATACAATCTTGTCGCCTTCAGAGGCTGTCAGAGCGGCATTTAAGCTTCCCAAATCATCATCTTCTGTACTTAAAGCAAACAGAAGTGTTTCTCCCTGCAGTCAAACACAGCATCCTATGGCTCAGATGGGATGGGGCTGGGGGAGGGCTCTTGATTTTCATATGGCCTTAGCTTTATGAGCTGCAGTGAGCAGAGCTGCTGTGGCAGCAGCAGCACACCAGGCACAGGAAGGGATGGGAAGCTGTTCTGTGCTGTTTGAGAGAATTCAAGGGCAACACTAGAGTCATGTCCATCTGCCCCCACAAAAGAGAAGATGGTTGAGAGTAGGATTGTCTAATGTATTAAGTAATGCCATGCAGGGACTGCTGCCTCTGGCATCATGCTTTGCAAACTGCACCCCAAAGGTATTTGATGCACTGCTGCTCTCACACCTTGCCATGTTTGCCTGTTAGATTGGGAGCATAGCAACAGTCAAACCTTTTTTTTTTTTTTTTTTTTAAATCCTTCTCTCTTTGTTCACATCCTCTTTGCTTTAGGGTGTGTTGTGGTAATAAGTAAATGTAGTGACTTGCATGAGGATTCAAGTTAAGTCGGGGAGCTGTCTGGGGACTAGTGAGTCAAATACTGTAGCTTTAGGGGATGCTTAGTGTTTTACAGGTACACGGAAATAAAATAAGGTTAATATCCTATTTTTGTTTAAGGTAAAATGCTACAGTAATTTGGCTTAAGCCTTGGAGCATGACTTTCTTCCATCGTTTGCTAAATATGTTTTTGGTATGGCATTTTTAGAGGATGTTTTGCTGATTTGCTCACTTAATCTTGAGCTGTTTATAAAATTGTCTTACCAAGAACCTAGAGTCATTGTGTTTTGTGGGACATGCAGATGTTAGCCTATGACAACTAATATTGTATATGTACTTCCTACTTGTGATTGAGCAGTAGACCTGTGATGAACAGATCTGCAAGTGAAAGTACCTAGGCAATAAAGCTTAGGGCTTGTCTTGACTGGACTCTTGGGCCTGTCAGAGCTGCCTCCTTGGAACTGACTTTAGAGCCACGTTTCCTGCATGATCAGTAATCACTAAAACTGTTTAATAATGTGCACAGCAGAAGCATTTTCTTGGGAATAAAGCTATTCCACAAAAAAAAAAAAAAAAGCTTGTCATAGATTTTTATATTTTGGTAACAGATTTAAGAAAGCCTTTATTATCTGCTCAAGTTTTAGTGTAAAACTCATGATGCAGCACTAAAGCAAACTACAGAAACAAGTGCAGAATCATATATATAATATGAAGCATGAAGTGTATATTAGAAAAAACAGGATGTGTCCTATTTGAGTACATGCTGGATCTTATCCAATGTCCCTTCTCAAACAGCTGGGGATGTTCAGGGCTTGGTTGAAATCCATTTTCTGGAAATTGTCCCACTTAATCCCTTCCTTTAGAATACTGCCCCTTGCATTCCCTGTGCACTCTCACCACCTGTTTTTGATTTGTTCTTCCTGACGTTTGCAAACCAAAGAAGTGACTCTTATTGATCTTTCCCTCTTGCCCTTGGATTTATTCCAGGTTTCTTACTAGTGCACTGCTGTGTTGAGCTTTTTTAAATCACTGGATCCAGCTACTAAAGATTTGTTGTTTACCCACATCCTGATTTAACATCCTTAATGCATAAAACTTTCATATGCTCTCCTAGTTGGTTGAAGCCACAGGATCTCTGAATCCTAAACCAAGCTGTTGGCAAGTAAATAGACACTTTGTAGGCTTAGATGTTGATTGTTTGCATGTAACATTACATGTTTTGTGTGATTGTTCAACACCTAAAAAGTTGTCTTTTTTCTTTCCTTTTTTTCCTCTTTAGGTTCTGTAACTGATAAACCGTCAGGCCAGGGTAACTCAGGAAGGAAAGGTGAGTGGAGTCCTGTGCTTCAGCAACTTGTTTTGTAATAGCAGTTGCCCAGCCAAGTCTGTGACATAACTTAAAACCTGGGTTTCTAAACAGCTTTGTGTGTGAGGGGCTTACATGCCTTTAGACCTTCCCCTGCAGTAGGACAAGTAAGATGACAGTCTGTGCATCACCCTTGGGTGATGCCAGCCAGGGTTGTCCTGTCCCAAGTGTAGTATCCGGCATTTGCTTATGTTGAACTTCATGTGACTGGTGATTGATGAGCTGACTGCTCAGCCCTCTAATTTGCCAAGATCTCTTTGCAAGGCTGCTCTGCCCTTGAGAGAGTCAACAGCTCCTCCCAATTTAGTGTCATCTGCAAGCTTACTCAGTATGCCTTCAAGTTCTGCATCCAAGTCATTTATCATTTATCACCCGTAATGTTCTAGTTTTGTCTAGCTGTATGCTGGACACTTTTCCCAGAAGGATACTGTGAGAAACAATATTGAAAGCTTAATTGAAATCCAGAAAGTTTATATAAACTGACTTCCCTTGGTTGACAATGTGGGTAACCTTGTCATAAAAGGAAATAAAGTTCATTAAACAGGATTTTTGACCCATATGGGCTGTGACCAATGACCGCGTTGTCTTTCAGGTGTTTTTCGATAACTCCCAGGATAATTTTCTCCATAATTCAGTTCATCCCTAATTCAATTCAAATCAATTACTTCTGAGACTTCAAAATGCAGGAAAATGCCTACCTTGATGCCTAATTTTAATTTGAAAAACATTTTCCATGCTGGGACTGTCCAGTCCCAAAGACACTTAACAGAAATTATAGGTGGTTATGCTCGAAGCAGTGATGCATTTTGAGAGTATCTGCTGTACAGGCTGCTGGTTGTATATGGTAGCTTAGGAAAAGGTAGGGAGAAGAAAGATGCAAAGAGACCTACTTATTTAAGCCTGAATGCTGAAGCGTGCTTCTTACTTCAGATAAGGATGTGTCTCTGTAAACCTGTAATTATGTGTTAAACATCACAGCCTGTGTAATTGCCACCTGAACACATTGTTATCATGCTTTTAATACAGTTGTTGTTAGCCTAGCCTAAGATAAAAGCAAATCAAGTAGCTCTTGCAATCTGCATTATTTTAGAGTGGGGGTTGTTTGTAGGTTTCGTACCTGAGTAGTTCAGGTCTGTTATGGAATTGGAAGCAGCTGATACTGTATTTCTTAAGAAACAGAGCAAGGGGGGAAATGTTGGAGGTTTTTTTTCCCCCTACCTCACCCCTTTTATTAACTCAAAAGCTGGAACATACAGAAGAAGAGAACTATAAATGAAAGGAATTAATCTAAAATTTGTAATATAATTTGACTGTTCTTGGTGCTCCCTGTGGCATCCTATTTTAAGAATGCTAAGCTTGGTCACGTGGATGGAAAGACATTCTATGCAGTCAGTAGCTGTCAAGAAAAGGAAAACATCTTCCTTTTGGCCAGCATGCTACAAGCAATCATGTAAACTTTACATCCCCTCCAATTCTGAGTGTTCATCTGTTGAAAGCCCCCCCACAAGCCTTTCTCCATCATGTCAGAAAAATCCTGGTGAACAATTATTAAATAGTCTGTACAGGACTTTTAAAATGTGAAATGATTTGAAATGAAATAATTTGGTTTAACCTCTGGGGGAGTTAGCATTATTCCTCTGGCTTGTGAAGAGTGTTTGGTCTAAAAATTAATTTGCACTTATCAGTGCTTCTTTTCGACCTATTGCTGTGATGCAGAATTCCAGTATTGGGTTTTGTGGAAAGCAAGCCAGTACCAAGAACAGGCAGCCTGGCTTCCTTAAAGCAAATCATTTCACAGGAGCCCTGGCTTCTCTGAAGGCTGGTGACTAGCCAGCATGGCTATAACCACGTTTTAGTGGAGCATTCTGAGTCTTTCTGTACAGATAGACCTTTGCAGGAAGACAAACAGGACATGATGAAGAGGAGAGAAGTCCAGCAGGAACTGGGTCAATGATGACTTCGTAGAGGCACATTTTGGAAACGTCTGAAGCAGTCACTTTGAGCAACTGCCATCTGACTTAGCTTTTGGAATTTCCACACTCCTCTTTCCACCCCTGGATGAGAGTCCCTGGGTCAAATCGTATTATCTGGCACAGAATAGGCTCTTTCAGGAGGTGAAGGAATAGCTAAGACTCTCAGATGTGATTTCCTTTATCCCATTCATACAGGAATGTAAAATATGGAGCTAATAAACTTTGTATGATGTTGATGCCTTTCAAGTCTTCAGGGCAAAATAGTTCTTTGGATAGAGGCTGCTCTGCCTAGGGAACCATACAGGTGGATAGCCTTAGGCTATTAGGTAACAAGTGAAAGGGGAGACTTTAGTAGCATATTAGCTGCCCTCTAGGAGAGACAAATTAATGTTGGAAGAGGAAAATGACCGGCTGTCGGTAATAGCTCTCTTTCTTCAAATGTTTTGGCGTACTTTGTAGAGGTCAATAGGTATGATGGAGAAGATGTGAAGTAACATGTGCTTCCTGTTCACAGGCTGTCTCATTACTGATGAAAAGAAAATGAAATGACTCTATGGTCATTGGCTTGATATGTAGTTCCTGAAGTGGCTCTGTGGAGCTTTCTGCAGAGAACAGGCAAAAGTGCTGGCAAGAAATCCTTTTTATTTTTAAATCTCATGCTCTGGTTGTCCATGTTCTCATTGCTGCTGTTTCTGTATGATGTAATGCCAGTTACTCATATAATTTGCCCTGTAAGGTAATTTAAATCAAATCAAATTGGCACCAAATTTAAAACTTTAAAATAGCCAGTACTGATTTGTTCTGTGTGTGTGGAGTGCTCTGCTGCTGGAAGGCAAAGGCCTGGGCCCAGGGAAACAGTGACTTACTCTTATATGGTAGCATGGAAGCCTGGATTCTCCAGGACTTGCAGTTCAGACTTTTACCACTGGTCCTCCTGTCTGAATTCAGCCTGCTTGAATTTTTTTATAAACAAAGTCCTTTCAGGTTTGTCCATCTGACCCATGAAAGGACCTCTCATCCCCTCCATCTCTAAGGCCTAGTGCCCTAATGAAACACAGCTCAGTGCCAAATGTTTGTCCCGAGCTACAGTTCATCAGGTGCACTGAAGCTTGATAAAGATTTTATCCTTCCACTGTCATTGCCCTCTCCTCAAACCTTTTTGGAGTAAACTAACACTCTAGTTCTTTGTTTTCTTGCATGTTGCACTGTGCTGTTCTGTACTAAGGCACAGGTTTTCCAAATATTTCAGTCCATGCCTTTAACAAAGAGGGAAGTGTTGAGGTAGTACTGCCTGTCTGGCAGTGCTTGGAACCAACACCACCCAGCACCATATGCCCTGGCATCCTCACTTGAAGAGAACTGCCCACTGTATGAGCACAAGGCAATGGGAAGTACAGCTTTTGGGCTGCTGGTGAGGGTTGGTGATGGTGATGGTTGTGCAGCCCTTCCTGCACAGCCAGCCTACTGATGAAAATGGTCATTCAGTCGACCACCATGCTGTGAGAGTAGTGAGGCTTTCAACAAATGACTTGGGGAACTATGTTATGTTAAGATGCTCTAAGCTTGGTTCTCCAGGTGGACTGAGTGATCCTGAAGTGAAAATGAGGAAGGGCACTCCTTACCTAGAAGATGAAGTAGCCCAGCCAGGCTGACACACACTGTTCCTTCAGGCAGGTGCAGAATAAGTGCCCAGGACCCTTGTCAGAGGCTGCAGTTATTCCTGGGTGAGATTAGGATATCCAGAAACTGCAGATTTCTGTCACTGTCTGTTCCATATTCCTGCTTGTGCCTTGTACAGTCCTTTCTTATAAGGAGCTTCTTGCACTAATTTACTCCAGCTGCTGCTTAGTTTGAAAGCCTGAGAGACTTGGAAGATGCACACAGTCCCCTAGAGTGCTGGATATCCATCCCCCCCCCTCCCACTGGGATCTTCTTAATATTTTAAGATGCAGCAAAAGGCATCCTTGGAGCCAATATGACTGGATTTCTTCCCTGCCTAAAGAATGCAGATTGTTCCTTTCCAGCCAAAGGCAAGTTGTGCCACACGTTGGAAACAAAACAAGCAAGCACAAAACAAAACTTTATTTTCTTTATCTGTGGAATGTTGGTGCTTTAGGACTCAAAGATGCAGACTTGGCATATTGCAACCACGAGTAGCATTTTTTCACAGTCACTAAGCAAACTTTTAAAAAGTAGGCTGCTCAGGAGACAGGGGTAATAAGAAATTACGTGACTGCTTTTTATATTCATTAAATCATGCAGTCTTCCTACTTAAAACTGGAAGCAGAGTGAATTAAAATTGAAGAGAGATCAGAAAAGAGAGAAGGTGAAAATCGAGGTGGGAATAGTGGTTTGTTAGTCATTGTAACTATTCTGGATGCCGTCTTAATATCATTTTAAATAAACTGAATGAAAGAAATGGGAAAGGAAGTGCATTCTCTAATCTGGGATTAAAAGATGATGCAAGTACAGGTAAATATGGGCTGGCTGAACTGTTGATGTCAGTCATTGTGAAGAGTCTTGCATGGTATGTATGAACTCCTTTCTTCTTTCATGAAGTCTCTTGCAGTGTGTGAAGTTCCAAGCCTGTTTTGACTAGCTTTGTTTCCCGGTTGCAAAAGCTGGCAACAACATCTGCAGTTCCCTGAGCCTGGGGCAGGTACGGTGATGTTAGTGGAATGTGAGCTCTGATGGCCCCACAGGAGACAAAGTCTGGGTGGAGATGTTTTACGCTTACTGTCTTACGTGCAGGCATTGAATTCAGTGCTTTGACTTTCCCATGGAGTTGCGAAAAGCTTTGCCCAATGAGTCTGCAGACAAGTTGAGTTTCTGCAAGAAAGCACTGAGGCAATTTGAGGAACCTAAGATAAACAACTTAAAATTCCTGTCAATTAAAAATCTGGAATGGGGTTCCTCCTTGTGGGTTTAGCTGCACGAAACGGGCACAGAGGAAAATCGCAGTTGGAGCTGTGGGCAAGTGGGCCCATT